AAAACTCTCTTCCCTAACAATGACAGGCTCCGTCTGACTGTGAGGGCTTTGTAAGTTCCAGAACTAAGTCAAACTTGTGTTCTATGTCTGAAAAAAAATAAAGAAAACTTAGAGAGCCTGGTTCTCTAGTCAACAATAAAAGCAAGTAGAAAACAAATAAGCTTTCCTAAAAAAAGAAGCCTTACCACGGATATCTAGAATAAGGAATCTGCTACCACAAGTAAATAGAGCAAGACTCTCCATTTCCAGTGTTTATACTAAAGAATTGAGCAGAAATAATTACGGGCTTATTTACAATCATTAACTGCTATATGTTAAATTTATCCATATTTTCATTGATTGCCTACCTCCTTCTAGTAGAACCGTGGGAAAAGGCGAGAGTTGACACCTACTGTTCACCACTCTAAATATGTTAACTATTAAGGAATAAAGTACTTCAAATACAACAATAAAATATCAGAATTGGCTAAAGGTTGGATCATTCTGTATGTGAAAACCAAAGACACCTACTGTTAACTGATAAATAAGTAAAAGTTTTAAATAAACAGGTAGAAATGATGAGAGCATACTACCACAGATAACCAACCAAACGGGGGGAGGTCGGCAATATCTAGATAAAGCCTGAGATCCAGAAGCCATGTTAAAGGATAGAATTGTTGGAAGGCATGGTCTCAATGGCAGGCATACTGATACTCTGATTAAAGTAAGAGCAGAAACTCAAGATGCCTCTAGGTGGCTAAAGAATAATTAAGAAAATAGAATTTTCTTTTGATTTAGAATCATTCGGTGGATAACATGGGACTGGAAACATGATTGAAGAACTAGCACAGAGAACAAGAAACTGGCCAGCACCTTGAAATTGGCCAAGTAGATCTAAACTAAGGACGCAAGGATGATGAACATCCTAGGAGGTGAATAATAAACTTTCCAAATCTGATTCTCATAAAAACAAAAGTGAAGACTAATTTGCCAAAAGAGGAAAAATATGTGTAAGTTAACACAATTTTAACAATTTTTAAATTCACAAAATTTTAAAAACACAATACCTCAGAAAAATGTCCATTTCTGAAAATTTTTCATTGTTATGTTCCTTAATGCTTAAAGCAAAATCTGTAACACAATTTTAAATAATTTAGAAAAATTTTACGTTTGCAATACCATTTGCCTAAAGCAATTCTGTAGAGCCTGTGAGTTTGAAACAAATGAGAGTAGGCTCAATTAAACGTAAAAAACAACTCTCAGGCAAAATTATAAAGCTTTGCTATAAAGTACATAGCAAAAGTACTATAAACAGGATTCCTGCACAGCTTATGCAAATTTGATTTTTTTTTCCTATATACTAAGTAGTAGATTCATACTACACAATGAATTTAAAAAGTAATCACTGGATACCCTTAAGTCTCATCTAAACTTAATCTTAAGTGAGCAAAACCAAAGCTGGAAAAGAAAAAAGGGATAAAGTTAATTATGCCGCTTCTCCTCTTCCAAGCAATATGTTATAAATTAGGTATCTTCTTTGATTTCAGCTCTCAAATGCCTAAACCCACACCTAATCTAAATTATAACATAATTAGCTGTTTTGCATGCACAAGTCCTCAGTTTAAAAGGGTAAGTAAATCCTAACACCAGGGAAACGTGACATTTCAGGAAGCACTCGTCTAAGCCACCACAGGGAAAAACCAGCAATTTCACAGAAAGACTAGGAAATACCTGAGCAGATAAACAGCCCTTTCAACATCACTGAGGTCTTCATCAACCGTCAATCTTTCTATTTCTTCCGGTGTCTGTCAAGTGTAAAACACAAATTAGGCACACAAACATTGGTCAGTCTTGACCCCCCTCTATAAGTAGAGACTAATGAAAAGTTCTCCTTTAAGCATTAGCAATGAAAATTAAGGATCTGATGATTCTAGGGGCACAGAGGTTTCTCTCAGGATGATCTTCTTTGGGGAGGCGGGTGTTTTGCTATGTTTTTACTCTTCTAGCTCCTAGACCGCAGCTTGAGAATCACATTGTTGCTTCAGAACCTTGGGATAATCAATTTCATAGGCATATGTAACACCTATGCATACATTATACATGTATATGTATACACACACTTGTACTTTTACTACCCCAAGACTCTCCAGCATTTTTCACCCCAGGAAATGCTAAAAGGGAGGTGGGGTGAACAAAGACTGCAACCAAGTGGGAATGAAAAGGACCACAGAACTGGAGTGGTGGAGGGAAGGGGATAAACTGAGGTTGGAATCCTGGCAGGTGGGAGTGAGAAGCGCTAAAGGAGCTATTAAGACACTGGTCGGGAGTGGGGGGGGGT